ATCATCATTATCATCATCATCATCATCATCATCATCATCATCATCATCATTGCCTTTCTCTCCCTGGATCAGTTCATAGGCCACGAACAAACACTTTCCACCTTTGCCTATCCTGAGCTAGCCTCTTGATGTTATTTCACGTCTTCCCATTTTTCTGTTCATAAATTTCTGTTACTCTTCTCCAAGTTCCAACTGGTCTTCCCTTTGATCTTTTACTCTGTCAATTTCAGTGCAACACTTTTTTTGTTATGCAGATGCCTGACGTCCTTAGAGTATGTCCAGTCCATCGCCACCGCCTTCTTCCCACCTCATCTCTGACTGGGCTCTGTTGTATTGTTTTCCTTAACACTTCCTCGTTGGTAATCCTGTCTGTCCATCTGATTCTTAGTAACTTCCTTAGACACATGTGCAAGAAAACGTGGACCCTCTAGATGCAAGTCTGAGATGCGTTCCATGTCTCACATCCATACCACAAGACTGATTTTACTTTTGAATTGAAAGTCCTCAGCTTTTTTCGAAGTTAGATATCCATGGTCCACCAAATCCTATTCAAAGATATGAAAGCAGCCTGTGCCTTTTGCGATGCAGGACTTTATTTCAATTCCTCCCTCTCTGTCAATTATACTCCCAAAATAGCAGAAGGATTCAAAGTCTTCTAGAACATTTTCTATTAACTGTTACCTTCTCCTTTCGCTGTGTATAATATATCCTTAGCACCTTTGACTTTCCGGGGTGGATCCTCAATCCAACAGATTCTGATAGACTGTTTAAAACTGGTCTTTGCTTTTATCAGTTCCTAGGTGTGTGACAGAAGCGCCAAGTCGACAGCAAAGTCAAGATCGTCTAAGTGTGTCCTTGAGGTTCATTGTATACCATTTCTGTGTCTTCTTGTGGTTTCTTTCTCCAGCCAATCGATCGCCAAGTTGAAGAGGAAAGAGGATGGTTAACATTCCTGTCTCATACCGGTCATGATGTCCAAGATAGTCAGTGAGCTGGCCATCATGTACTCTCTGTAACTGCTGCTGTTATTGCTGCTGCTACTACTGGTGACGAAGATGATGATGATGATGATGATGATGATGATGATGATGATGATGATGATGATGA